GTGTGTGTGTGTGTGTGTGTGTGTGTGTGTGTGTGTGTGTGTGTGTGTGTGTGTGTGCGTGCGTGGACGCCGCGTGCGTCCGTACAGTAGTTGTTTACAGTTTTATATTTTTTGTGTTATAATAATAAAAGTGTTGTTGTGATCGTAATTTTAACACAGTTTGTAACAGGAAATAATGGAGACATGAAGAATATTAGTTATGTATACATTGACGTAGGACGCCGCTTACCAGTTTTACTATTCCCCATGCAATCAGTTCTTTCTCCAATATGGAAAAGATAGAGAAGGGACCACGAGAGATATTCAGTCCGGAAATTCAAAAGGTGAGTCGCTATAACACTTGGCATTAACAACATATAATTATACGCCTATGCACTATAGACGTTGTCGCCTGTCGTTTGGAGGTTTGGCTGTGGTCGATATGTAACGCGTAAAAAACGCCGCCTTTCCGAGGTTTAATCGTAAATTGTTCGAAAAAGAGTAGACTTCTACTGTATGTCCGACTGAGCGGAACGTTTGCATGAACCACGCTTCTGGCGGCAATGACGACGCGTCGTAAAATTTGCAGGGTGCCGGAAAATTATAGCATTTGCTCTGAAACGTCAGAGCGAGCGACAGAGCGTACGAGACGGCCTCCGAGCCGCGCCTGCTTATGCTCCCTTATACAGGAAATCATCCCGTTTACGCCTTCGGATGAATGTCTATTCTATTCTGTATTCGCGATGACTCGTCAGAAACAGCCATGCATGGCTTCGCCTGAGTCAATTAGCAGATCCATTAATACCTTTTATTGAAGTAGAAACGGAGTGTTGATATACGGGCGTGCCGCGCATAAGTAGCTCGTCAATGAGAGAAGCTGCGACAGCTAATATCACCACTTCTACATGCACCAGCAACTGTGCGCCTACACAAAGAAAGCGCGCATTTACAGGCTTTTATGCTGAATTAGCAAATCATTTATTTTTGCCTAAGAATGGAGTGCCGAGCCTACGACGTTGTACTTACGTTGAGGCCACTTTATTGAACGTGCAGAAATCATCTCATGTTCAGCTGCCAATAACTGCCAAGTCAGCCACGGTTGCTACTCAGTTCAGTATTCTCCTTCTTCTGATACAGCCAGAACTTCATATAGCGTGTGTATGGATTATTTTGTACCTATTTAGCACATCTAATGCGTAATAATTGCGTTTCGTAGATTATGGTGGAATCATCGGCCATGTACTTCTTGCAGGTCATGTTTGAAACGCAATGCTGTCATTCATGCGCATATTTACTCGCAACGCGCGTACCTACCGCATGTGCATTGCCGCTTTACAATATTAGCTATATGGCTATTAGTTGGTTGGACTACGAATGAGTGTTACTAAATATTTTAGCAACCTCGTTTATACGGCGGTAATCAGCCGAAATCCACCATCTCATCGCTTTTTTTCTCAAATCCTCAAATCCGCTTTTATTTTCTTCTCGCTCTGTTCACGTTTTTTTCTCGCCCTTTCAGATGCGTCTATTTCCTTCTCACATTTTCTACTCTCTCTTTCCACATTTTCTCGTTCGTTAAGCGTTACTAATCATAGAGAGCGCGCGTGTTCTAATAGAATTTATTTCAACGCTTTTCAAAAGCACAAGCGTGTTGAAATAAACAACATTTGGTTTCACGCAGCGTGATAAAAAATGCAACGATCGCGTGCCAAAGCAAAAAATTGCATTCAATATAACTAATGCACGCAACCAACCTATCGACTACCCACCGAATGACGACGAAACCACGCTTCATTTAACATTAATTTATCGTCTACATTACTATTGCGAAGCAATTTCTGAAAGCGCTGATAACAACGTAGTTTCGAGCCTATAACGACCCAGCTTTAGCCGCGTTTCGACATCAAACCAATGTTAGAAATTCTCGCAACAAGATTTCATAATGAGATCAGCAATCTCCCCTGCTGTAATCAGATAACAAGCAGAGACAAAATTTAAAGCTCAGTCTATATATCGTACGATCGCTCTATATACGTCAACGTCGCTACTTTGACATAAACTTTGACAGGCTATATGTATGGCAAATGCACACAGCGGTCAAGCGTGGCCGGCTCTATTCCGGTGGCCTAGGAGGGCTATCATATAGGATGAGTAAAGGTCAGCGTTATTAGACAATTAAGTAGTCGTAGTGGTAATCATGTTCCCAGCCTTATATGCGCGTATGTTGGTCCTCCTGGGCTCCATAGTCGAGCTCCGACAGCGCATATTTATCTAAATGGACAATGATCGACCCGGATAAGAAAATCAACACGCGTGCGTCATTTTGTTACCGATGACCTATTTGGAGCAAGTGTGAAATAGAGCTATATTAGACACCCGTACAAAACCCATGTAGGCGATACGCTGTACTAGCCGCCCGAAATCGGAGAGGAAAAAAGTCAAAAATTTACCTGCCCCTTTATTTCGCACACAGGGTTGAAAATATCAAATATTTACATTAACACCCACCAGAAACCACTCGGTAACAAGTTCTTTTGTTCGTTTTCTCTACGCACGTGGAGCATAGCGTCTTTGTAATGGCGTCGATACTTTCTGCACACTTTTGCAACACTGCTGAGATTTTATGAATTACGCTCGCATATGGGTATGCTATAGCAAGCGGTATAGCAATTATATGTATGTTTTTCAGGACCTGCTGCTCTTAGAGGAACAAGAAGGTTCGGTAAATTTCAAATTCGGGATCGTGTACGCGAAGGCGGGTCAGACGTCGGACGACGAGTTCTTCAGTAACGGTGAGGCGACGTAAAGATTACCCGGTTCGATAGACTGTACATGTGACCTATGGTGTCGAAACATGCAGATGTAGATGTAGATAAAAATATAGATGCAGATACAGATGCAGATGCAGACATAGATATGGATGCATATGCAAATACAGGTGTATATGCAGATGTTGATGCAGCAGATGCATATACATGTGTAGATGCAGATGTCGTGCTCACAAAACCTAGTTTCTTGCTCAAGAAACCAGGGTTCTTGCCATGAAACTAGGCTTCATGGCATGAAACCTGGTTTCTAGCCCTATAACCGCAGTTATAGCTGGAATCTTAGTTTCTTGAGCAAGAAATAGGGTTTGGGAGCAAGAACCTAGGTTTCAGCAAGAAACCCACTTTCAACCGCGCCATTTGTATCATAATTTGAGAAACCACGGTGCTCACAAAACCTAGTTTCTTGCTCAAGAAACCAGGGTTCTTGCCATAAAACTAGGTTTTATGGCATGAAACCTGGTTTCTAGCCGTATAACCGCAGTTATAGCTGGAATCTTAGTTTCTTGAGCAAGAAACTAGGTTTCAGCAAGAAACCCACTTTCAACCGCGCCATTTGTATCCTAATTCGAGAAACCACGATTCCTCGCACGAAACCAAAATTCCAGCTATAACTGCGGTTATAGGGCTAGAAACCAGGTTTCATGCCATGAAACCTAGTTTCATGGCAAGAACCCTGGTTTCTTGAGCAAGAAACTAGGTTTTGTGAGCACGAAACCTGGTTTCGTGCGAGGAACCGTGGTTTCTCGAATTATGATACAAATGTCTTGCCATACACACACACCTCGCGTGCGGAAATGCACGCAAATGCCCTGAACCGGTTCGCGCAGTCAGCGGCCAGAACACTCCGATTCCACGACTTCCGCTCGTTTTTAACACGCGGGGTCATTAAAAACGAGGATGAACTATTGTACTGTCGGAATGCGGTTTCATGTTCTCTTGCCTACCTGCTGCACGAGATCGTATCGATTCGTACCGTAGGCGTTATACTCCACGCGGCCATTTCTGCTGCGATTTTACCTTTTGCGAGTTGGATATATATTTGCCAAGCGATAAGCCCCCCGCACTCGACTGTGCGGGAAAGAAACACACTTTTGCTGTAGTACAGGCTGCATGCCCACCGCTAATGAATGAAACCCCATCGGGATAGCATCGTGTGTGATTCACAAAGACATCAATAGTGCATGACACGCACATGTCCGCTCCGCCGATGCACTGATCACTCGGCAGATTTCGTTGCTGCCGCCGCATTAACATGTTGCGGCGTCGACGGCGCCATTGAGTTCGCGTGCTCGACGTCTTGCGTACCCAAGACACGTTTACCACTCGACCGTTATTACGAAATGCAACGTGCCTAATGTGCTCGCGTGCGCGTGTAGTCGCGAGAGTATCAGTGGCGTGTATACGTAGCGAGAGCTTGCTAGCGTGCAGCGGCATCGTACTCGTGCCTCGTGTGTTAGCGTGAGAAGCCAAAAGATGGAGAACCTGTTAGCGCGCGGCCACGCGACGTGCGGTGGCAGTCTACGATTCAGTATAATCTGTTGACCTGTGAACTCTCCGCTGTTTACTAACTAGAGCTCATTTGATTTGGCGCACACAATCAAGCGCTGACATTTTTATTGACCAGCTGCCGTCTGATTAAAGACAGACTTTAATAAGAATGTCGGGTAGATCCCCTAACGAGGTGTAATGCAGTCGCAGCTAGAATGTCGGTACGCCTGCAACTCCCTCTATCGGCGAACTCGCTAACTTTTTACATTTTCATACGACGAATCTCTACTCTAGCAAAGGATGTCTTTGATTAATTTAATTAGAAATAATATTTTCGTTTACAGTGTACTGCACAAAGCTCGTTATTTACGCGATGAATCTTTGCGCGAAGTTGTCAATATTTTCTCCTTTCTGCGGCGAAATATCTGCTGGTGGTCTGAATATGCATGTGCAGCGCGGCTTTAACTCATTGTTACCGCGCGCTTCGCTTTGCTCACATTCGTTACAATTACATGCGGCCGTCGTGTGCTCGCCAGCATTTTCTGATGCGCTTAGCGCGGGCGCGACGATAATGTTTGGGTTGAGATTGAAGCCCAGTGACACGATAAGCCATGGGACTAGCGCTGCTGCCAGCGCTGCATTAAATTATGGCCTTCGACGATTCAGCTGGATTAACGCGTAGTTCCACCGTTGATGACGTCACGTAACGTCACGTGGGTTCAACAATACGATGGGAAGCTGGCGCGCGTGCTTTGCAGTGTGCGTGCATGCGAGCGATCGTGTGTGCGTGCGTTCTAAACAGCGCACGTACGCGTGCGCGCATATATACGTGCTCGTTATGGACACTTAATTACGCGGGACAGGGTCTCAACGATCAATGATCGTATGCATATCGAATCAGACGCGCCTGTCGGCACTCGTGATCAAGCGTCAACGGGACAGAGCCGTAGCCGCGAGATCCATCGCGCGGCAAATGTCATGGCCGCACACGTCCCGCCACGCGTTAATTATTCAGCTAGGATTCGCCGATGACAGCGGCAAGTTATTGCTTTGATGACTATCCGCGAGCGCAAGCAAACGAACCTGAGCACGCGATTGTCGAAACCACGCAAAACACGCACGTTCTACAATAGCCCCGGCTGCCGCGTGCTGCTACTGTTATGCACGGCCGCGCATTACATTAAAATGCCAATGCAATCGCCGACTGATGTATTTTATTGCCTCTCAGAGAACGGAAGTGAAGAATTTAAAAGATTTATTGACCTATTGGGCGGCAGAATCACGCTGCGCAACTGGGACCGATTCAAAGGTGGCTTGGACGTTAAAAGTAAGTGGGCACGCTCGCGATCAAATGCGCAGCATCGGGCAACCGAGTTCTCCACTCGTGGCTTTTAGCCGTAAATTGGTGAAACAACGTTGTTGTTTACGATTTCAACTTAGCCATTCTTATCTCGTCGCCGCAGTTGACCGACATTAAGAACATCGTAATTTCCATATTGATTTTCGGATCAGCAGCTTCGGATAGTTCGTACATCTGTTCGTCGCTGTACATGCATGCCGCGCCTTGAGTGAGTATAACGCGCGCAGCGCATGCATGACTCGTGTGTCATCATCTCCCCAGGCAATACGACAGGTATGGAGTCAAGATACACGGTGTTCGAAGGCCACGAGATCATGTTTCACGTATCGACGTTACTTCCGTATTCCAGAGACAACCGACAGCAAGTATGATATCTATCTATCTATTGTGTGTGTGTGTGTGTGTGTGTGTGTGTGTGTGTGTGTGTGCTTGGTGTGTTTGGTGGTGGTGTGCTGTGTGTGTGTGTGTGTGTGTGCGTGTTGTGCTAAATTTGTTGTTTTTTTTTAACGTCTTTTTATATGATAATGGTATATGTATTGTATATATTGTAATATATATATATGTATGTATTATGATTTATATATTAATTTATATATATATGTATGTATATATGATATATAATATATTAATTATTATATATACACCCATCATAGACACAGAATATTAGTCGTATTGCAATCTGAGTGATCGCTCGCGGGATGTATGTTGGGCGTGCCGCAGTGTGGCGTTGCGGTGCGTGCAGATGCCTGTGTCAGGCAGTGGGACGGAGCGCGCGCATCAGCAGTGGCTAATCAAATCAGATCACTGATGTGCCAAACCAATATAACGCCCGTGCTTGACAGGCACCTACGAGATCGGATCGCGTGGCGGCGCGTTAAGCTAGAAGACTGACATACATGCCATCGTGGGCATGTAAATTATCGCCCATGTTTTTCTTTGTCGCGACTATATTTATACGGCTTTCCATTCACAGGTGGAGAGGAAGCGAATATTGGCACGATATTGTAAGGCATCGTGTTCCAAGAGCAAGCGAGGCTGGCGACGTGCCATGCTTTTCAAAGCCTTGTATGCTAAAGTCGGCAAATTACGCGTATGCCATTTATTTGCGATCATTGACTCTAAATACATACACGCGCCGTATTTACAACGCGCGCGTGTGTGTGTGTGGTTGTGTGTTGTGTGTGTGTGGTGTGTGTTGTGTGTGTGTAATGCTTGTGTGTGTGTTGTGTGTGTGTGTGTGTGTGTGTGTGTGTGTGTGTGTGTGTGTGTGTGTGTGTGCGTGTGCATTTGTCTAGAAATGACATTAACGGTTAAACGCATGCAGATGAAACTCTAAACATTTTAATCAATTAAACGGTCCACCTGCTCTGCTAAATGCGATAATATTTCAACCAAACCTATTCAGCAACGCCTATAATGAGCTCTTTGCAAAGACAATAAATTTTCATATTTTTGTTTTGTTTATCGAGCCACACACGTGTATATCCAGCTGTAAAGCTTATCATTAAATGCGAAGCGCCCGGCCATACAGCATTCTCTGCTCCTGCATGAATAATTAAAATTATGTCCGCAACGAAGCTCTTTTTGATACGTGCCAAAGGGTGGTCCGGCCTTCCTCTATATTCATATTTCAACGCCAAACCTTTGATGCTGCCATGATTCCTGACCGTATCTCAGATATTTTCGCGCTGGTGACGTACAATCGACAGTTGGACGCCTACAGGCTGTGGGTGTGGTCCGAGGAAGCGGTGCCTCTCTTCGGACCTACTCTTCCCTGTCCACCCCTCTTCCAGGACCCGCAGCAGTTTCGCGATTTTCTTCTCGTCAAACGTAATCATACTTTATACTCTTCAACACGCTTCGATGAATTGTTCTCATCCATTCTCAACGCTCACAGTGACTTAATCTCAAAGCCGATAGCCCCGGTACAATTCAATCGGAATTCTAGGAAAATGTCAATTATTTTCTACGGCGGTCTAAAATGAAGCGGGCGTTTGGTTGAAAATGAGGTATTCGCGCTGTATATTCATATCATCGATCACGGGAACGGGAAAATGTTTTGCTAATAACAAATTGACGACCGGCCCCCAGAGGTTTAGGTCTGGGATAATCATCTCGTATGACAGACATGGATACGTGTCGGCATGAATTTCATGAGAGGTGGTCGCGTAACGCATGCACCCACCACCCGTTAAATGCTTGACGTTTTCGTAAAATCTGCCTATATACACAACCTGTGGATGAAAAGCGATTTACTATTCATGAATCTTGATGACTAGTGCGCCATTCTGGCCGTCTACTTTCAGCCGATTTCATTTTGGTAATTGGGTTATTAAAAGGTCACTGTTAGCGAGTTAGTCTGAGTTAGCGAGAGAGAGAGGGAGGCCGAGTGATAGAGGGAGCGAGCGACCGAGAGAGAAAGAGAGAGAGAGAGAGAGAGAGAGAGAGAGAGAGAGAGAGAGAAAGAGAGAGAGAGACAGACAGACAGATAGATATAGATAGATAGACAGACAGACAG